GCGGGTGACACACAGCAGGGCTCTGAGTATTCCAGGGCTAGCAGAATGGATATATGAATATGTGTGGCATGTCTATGGAAGATGAGGTTTGAAAAGGGGGGAAGATTTGAATTGCAAGATGTGGAGGATCATTTAAGAGAGAAAAATACCTCAAAGTCAAAATTTAGAATGTTATCACACCAAAGAAGTGGAAGGCCTCTATAATGCTTATAGAATAGTGAGAAATTTTACATAAAAGCCAAGTAATTATTATAATGCTTTTTCTAACTTTTACTCTTAGGAAGGTTGGTGACTATAAGGAAGAGTGTATCCCAGTACAGCTCTTGTGACTTTGACAGAAAACACAGATATGGTTGTTAAATTATTTTGTTTGCAGCTAAATCTCAAATGGTTCAGAAAAATAATGTACATAAAAGCAATGAAGCACATGTGGCAAAAATGTTACTGAATTATTGAATCTGATGGAAGAGTATATGGACAATCATTGTACTATTGCAGCTCTTCTAGGGTTAATTTTTTTTCACTAAAAGTTGGGGAGGAAATAAGAGAATGGAGAAAAGATTGAAGAAAAATTCTCCAAATAACTTAAAGATTAAAGAATAAATCTAGCAGGGTGCCTGGGTGGCTCAGTCGTTAAGTGTCTGCCTTTGGCTCAGGTCATGATCCCGGGGTCCTGGGATTGAGTCCTGCATGGGGCTCCCTGCTCAGGGGGAAGCCTGCTTCTCCCTCTCCCACTCCCCCTGCTTGTGTTCCCTCTCTCACTGTGTCTCTCTCTGTCAAATAAATAAATAAAATCTTTGAAGAAAAAAAAAAGAATAAATCTAGCAAATACTTAGAATTAAACCATAATGAAAATACAGAAACTTTTTGGTATAGCTAGACTGCTAAACCAAAAATTTATACCCTTAAATGCTTATATTAAAAAAGAATAAATGCTAAAAATTAATGAATTTTTAATTAAAAAATTAAATATAAAATATATTTAAAAATCAAATTTGATATAGCAGTTACAGTTTAGATATATAATTAGATACTTTATGGATATTTGGTAAACTTCATTTCAGATTTCTCAAACCTTAACAAGTAGATCTTGCACTGTGTCTGTGGGCAGAAAAAACTGACTGCTTTTGCACATCAAGAAGGGTAAAGATAGGGGCGCCTGGCTGGCTCAGTCAGAAGAGCGTGCAACTCTTGATCTTGGGGTCAAGAGTCCGAGCCCCATATTGGGTGTAGAAATTACTTAAATAAGTAAAACTTTAAAAAAAAAAAAAAAAGAAGGGTAAATATAAAGCAATAAATGCTTCTTGAAAATTAAATCTCTACATTTTGGTAAGATTTTGTTCACTTATCTAAAACAAAGCAGAGTTGCTTAGCTTCCACTGAATTTTGAGCAAAGTAAGTTTATTCCCCCATTTGTCCTTGTCTTGTTTTGCCAGAATTATAAATATATCTATAATAATATTAACTATCCAGATGATTGAATCATTTCCCACTTCAGTGAGACACAGCCTAATCAAACAGACATAGAAATTTCATGAGTTTAAAAAAAGCACCTATGGTAATATCCAATTTTTAGTTTCAGTAGTAATTTGTTTCATTGATGTCTTTGTTCACCAGCATTATAATAAATAAAATGAAAAAGGATTCTATCCACATTTTTAAATTGAGGTAAAATTCACATAACATAAAATTTACCATGGTAACCATTTTAAAGTCTACAATTCAGTGACCTACAGTACATTCACTATTTTGTGCAACCATAACCACTGTCTAATTCCAGAAAATATTCATCACTCCAAAAAGAAACACCATACCCACTAGGCAGGCACTGTCAATTTTACCCTCCCCCTCAGCCCCTGGCAACTACTCATCTGCTTTGGTCTCTATAGATTTGCCTATTCTGGACATTTCATATAAGTACAATCATACAGTGTGTATCTGCTTGTGTCTGGCTTCTTGCATTTAGCATGTTTTCAAGGTTCACCCATGCTGTGGCATGTATCAGTTCTCCATTCCTTTTTATTGCCTGATAATATTCTCTTGTATGAATATACCACATTTTGTTTATCCATTCATCGGTTAGTGGGCATTTGAATTGTTTCTACTTTTTAGGCATTAGGAATAATGCTGGTATGAATATTCATGTACAAGTTTTTGTTTGAACACCTGTTTTCAGTTCTCTCAGTTATATACCAGGAGAATTGCTGGGTCATGTAGTAATTTTTATGTGTAACTTTTTGAAGCATCAACAAACTGGTTTTTTTCTGGCCACGTTTTTAATGTAGGCTTTTAAGGCCAGTTTGTAGGGAAGAGAACCTTATAAAGTGAGAACTTCCAGAACCCCCCCCAAATTTAGCAGTGATGTTAATTACAGAGTAATCTGAGTTGAAGTCTCTCTTTTGACATTAGTAAGCATTCCTCTGCCATCCCAATTGAGTTTTCACTGGAGGGCTTTTATTCTATGCTCTTGGACCACTGGTTGCATAACTGAAGAATATGTGGTTGGGGGTGTAACTAGAGTTGGAGCATTTGTAGTATTTTTTCCCTAATTTTTGTCTTCAGTTAAAGAGGACAAATGCTTTACCTTCAGTTTAGAAGCATAATAATCTGGAAGTTTCAGACCTTTATCTGATACGCTTTAAAGTAGTGTTAAATTTTGTCTTCTTAGGGCTCAATAACTGTTTTAAATTTGCTAGCATGTCCCTGAAAATAAAAAATCAACAAATCTCCACTAGAATCCATGCCAGAATATTTCTCAACAACTGCTAGCCCTCTGTATTTAAAATGTTTGCCTTACTAAAATTTCTTGAGTTTAAGAATTTCTTGAGGGCGCCTGGGTGGCTCAGTTGGTTAAGCGACTGCCTTCGGCTCAGGTCATGATCCTGGAGTCCCGGGATCGAATCCCGCATCGCGCTCCCTGCTCAGCAGGGAGTCTGCTTCTCCCTCTGACCCAACCCCCTCTCATGCTCTCTCTCTCTGTCTCATTGTCTCTCTCAAATAAATAAATAAAATCTTAAAAAAAAAAGAATTTCTTGAGAAACCACAGTATTGGACCTTTTAAAAAACTAAATGTTTTATGTATATGCTTTGAGGTGCTGGCCTATGCTTAGCTTCACCCTTGGAGCTGAAATATTTTATACTTGGAATTAAGCCAAATCTCTGACTTGCATGCATTCAATTTATGTTGCATGCATCCAAGTCCTGGTATTTGAATGGTCTTTTTCCTTCATCTGAATATTTTCTAACTTGAAGAAAAATAACACTTTCCATTTAAGACTTGACTCTCTCTCCCCTCTTCACCCATAAGCAGATGTCTTCATACTATGTACGTGCAATGCTAAGAGGAGAGAGAGTATCTTGGTATTTTCCAACTTACCCTTAAATACCCTCTAGCCTGGGGATCCCCAGAAGAGCTGCAGGGAATTCCATAAGCCTTTTGAAATTCTGTGCTGAATAGGAGTTCTAGAGAGGGAAATCATAGCTTTTATCATATTCTCAAACTGGTATATAATCCCCAAAAAGTGAATATCCGGTAGTTCTAACAATGCCTGGAAACAAAAAGGACACACTTCCTGTGGCACCATGACACATTGGATGGTGTGTGATCAAGCCATGAGTATTTTTCAGTCAGACTTTCAACTGCAAAGTCAAAGTAATAGCAGTGCGAACTGGCCAAGAATCGGTGGTGCTGGGTCTGTAAGGTCACACAAGTCACACTGCGTACTTGGGCAGAAATAACCCTTTTTGTATACTGGCTTCTTCCATCATCTTATACTTACAGAACTTGTCATTTTTAGAAATAGAAACAGACCTTTAAGAAAACTCATCATTTTCTTTAATATTTTGCTAATCTTCAACTATATGCCTGTCCCTTAGCAGGTGTCCTGCACCTTCCTTAAAGCTATTTTGTGGGCCTCACTACAATCAGATACTACTGAAAGTGGAGGAATAGCTTAGTTTATTGCTTCTGGGACTTGGATAGTCCTAGAAGATCTCATCCAATGCCCCCCAGCTTTATATCCTTCGAGCTACTGACAGGCTTCGGGGGCCTCAAAGAATGATCCATTGCAGCTGCTGACAAGGAGCTGTTTTCAAAGGGATATCAAGAGTAGATGCTTGTGATGCTGAAGGTGGTTTCTAGGAATGGATCAAGGTGAGTGGGACTATTAGGGCACTGAGGGCACCAGACCACTTACAGAGATGGAAGAGCCAGAGATAAGGGCAGATAGAAGAGTGTAATGCTATTATCCCTGCTCATACTGTGACGTCACCTTCTACTGAGGCCTCTAGTACTTGGATAGAGTATCTTCTCCAGCCGCCAAAGTATTTCTTTTGACTATTTGATCATATTGTTCAGTTCTCTGAAATAGTTTCACCTTCCATCTGCCCCTTACTGATTTCCAAAAACCAGTTGTGGTCCCACATAAATATTGAAACACCTTTTTTCAGTTAGTTTCAGCACTGTGGTCCTTATAAACAGATTCCAGTTTTACAAGCCAAGTTACAAAAGTGAGAGTCTTAAGGGAAAAAAAAGTAGTAAGAAGCAGTAAGGATTGTTAGCTATTTTTTTTTTAACTGATGTGTGAAGGGAAGAAGAGAACTAACCTTGTTTGCACACCTGCTGTGTGCCATTCACTTTATGTGTATGGTCTCATCTGTCCCTCATGGTACGAACATCTTTGTAGTGAGTGTTAGATATTTTTTACAGATGAAGAAACCAAAGTTCACATAGTTTGGAAGTGAGAAAGTTGTAATTCCAACCCATATCTGTATGTCTGAACTGCACTGCTTCCCCTACACCCACCAGAGACCAACAGCAGTAGAGGCGTTTCCTGAAGGTTTGTGGTGGCAGTAGCTTCGTGGAAGAGGGCCAGGGGATTTGTTCTCAAGCTGCATTGTATATTTACAAATATATTGTAGGGATGCCTGGGTGGCTCAGTTGGCTAAGCATCTGACTTCGGCTCACGTCATGATCTCAGGGTCTTGGGATTGAGCCCCACACTGGGCTCCTTGTTCAGTGGGGAGTCTGCTTCTCCCTCTCCCTCTGCTACTCCCCCTGCCTTTGTGTGTGCTCCAGTTCTCTCTCACTCTCTCTCTCTAATAAACAAATAAATTATATCTATAAATTATATATATAATTTATTTGTTTATATATTTATATATTTTATATATATTTATATATATTATATAAATAATATATATAATATATATATTTATATATATATACAATATATATATATATATATACCATATATATATATGGTATGCATGTAGGCTAATTTGGGGGGAAACTAATCTAATTTACAAGGACACTGAAGTCCCTGCACATTTGCAACCTTGTCCTTGGTGCTTCCCTTGAAGGACCATATGGGAATGATAGAATGGAAATGAAATAAGCAACTAATAAATGGGTCATTTTTAATTTCCAGTTTTTGCTTAAATTATTGATGTTTTTCTTTATTGCAGTGAAATGTCACAAATAAAAATGCAGAGAATTTATTACAATTTTAACATGGTGGAAGGTAGAGCAAACAAGTGGTGAAAAAATCCAAGAGAAGAATTAATAATTAAATAATGAAAAGTTTAAAATAAACTTGAAAATGTCTTTGAACTTAGACAAAAACATATACTACAGATATGGGTCCAGATCCCCTTTGATACTTATATCTGAGAGCCCCAAGAAGTAGAAGGAGGAAACCTTAGAGCATTACTGGATTGAAAGTTATTAGACTCTTAAGTCTTAACCCCACTCCACCCCTACCCAACTCAACCCCATTCCACTAGCAGTTCTGGCTCATTCCTTCCCTCATTCAAAAAATATTTACTGAGTCCTATATGTCAAACACTATTCTAGATGCTAGAGATTTGGCAGTGATAAGGATAAACAATATTCCTGTTGCATCAAGCTTAAGTTTTAGAAGAGAAAATAGGGAAGAGGTAGGCAAATTATATATATCCTGTTATATTCTATAGAATGTTATACATAATGTTTATATTTACATAAAAGTGTTATACAGGGGTGGCTGGATGGTGCAGTTGGTTAAGCTTCGGATTCTTGGTTTCGGCTCAGATCGTGATCTCAGGGTCATGACATTGAGCCTGCCTAGGACTCTCCGCTTAGTGGGGAGTCTGCTTGAGACTTTCTCTTCCTCTCCTTCTGCCCCTCCCTGCCATGAATGTGTACACTCTCACTTGCTCTCTCTCTCAAATAAATAAATAAGTAAATAAATCTTTTTTTAAAAGTATAATACATATAAAATGTTTTAGCTAGTGGTGTTATGATAAAAATTAAATAGGTTAAAGGGTGAGACAATGCAGGTGGGGTTACAGAGCTGTACTTTTTTTTTAAGATTTTATTTATTTTATTTATTTATTTGAGAGAGACAGAACACGTGCATGCAAGAGGAGGGGGAGTAAGAAGGGAGGGAGGGACAAGCAGACTGTGCTGAGCACAGAGACTGACTGGGGGCTCCACATGGGGCTTAACATGGGGTTCAGTCTCACCACCCTCAGATCCTGACCTGAGCCAAAACCAAGAGTTGGTCACTTAGCCAGCTGCGCCACCCGGGCACCCCAGGTGTACTTTAGATGGAGTGGTCAGGGAAGACCTCTGAGAAGCTCCTGGTCACTGAACCTTTTGAGGACTCAGTCTCTTTATACCTAAAATGAGAGCATTGCTAGGTTATCACTAAGTGGCTGCAAAATTCTGTGCTTTCTGTAAGGGAGGCATCTTTAGGTCAAATAATCTTTTGTATGTATATATTATGATCTTTGTTGTCCATTGATCTCAAAATATAATAAGAATGTTCATTGATTTCCAAGGTTAATTCCATGTTACATTTGGGGAATTTAAACTGAGAGTTAAATGCCTTCCCAAAGGTGGCATAATAGTAAAAGAAGGATTAGAGCTCTCAACTCCTGCCATTCTCAGTCTGAAAATTCCATCGCACTATAGGATATAATAAGAAGTGAAATTGAAATGTCAGAGCAGTTCAAAGAACATTAAAGATGTGTAAGCTATGATGCACTAAAATATTTACAAATAAGGAATTGGATAAGTATATCCCACTGCACTCATTTATGGCAGGCAAGTAAGCCATGTGATATGCTTTAAACCAGTAAAATAGCAAATCCCCCCAAGAAAATCTATAATTTTAATCAAAAGTTTGTTTCAGTCATTGAAATTCTGTTATTGCTGCTTACAAACATTAAAGTCAATCAAAACATCAGTAGCTCTGCAAGATCAATATTTTTAATATGTTTGCATTGCAGTACTGCAGATTTTTGGCTAATGGATCGCACCCATATTGATTTCCATGGGAAATGTTAGTCTGATACTGAAATAATTAAAAAAAAAAACCACACACACACACACACACAGGGATTATTGGTTTGGAATTTTGAAGGAGATAGAAGTATAAAAATTGGTTATTGACTAAATTGCTTGGGGTGAGTGAACCTTGGGCACTTGCAATAAACTTGTAGCACTCAGTCATTACTGAATACTACCTTAGTCCCTTAAACTGAAAAATCAATCAATAACTTATTATAACAATGCAAATTGTGGTGAAATAACAGACTAGGCATGTAAGAATCACATTTTATCAAAACAGATATGCATAAGCATATGTATGGGCATATTGAAAACATCTACTAAAACTTGGTGACTGATTATCACTGAGATTTCTGCTGAAGATAGTTTGAGTAGCATTTTTAAAGAGATAAACTGCTACAACATATCAGTAAAAAGAAGCATACAATTATTCTATGAACAATAAAAGTGCAAACACCACAACATGTCAACTGGCAGATTCTGTTATTTTGATTCAGAGCAAAATTACAATTGTTACTCTGTTCTCAAAGCATTGGAATAATGTATGCAAGCATTAGATTAGATACAAACTCATTCCCCACCGTATAAATCTAATGCACATTACCTTTCTCTTGTTTTTTAGCCTTTAGTTAGGAAAAGTCATATTTTCATCTAGAAAGTTTAGTCTGTGTTTTCATTTGGTTATCGTTATAAATTTATGAATTATTTGTCTCTCAGAGGCAATCTCTGTTTTAAAGAGAACATTTTTTAATGTTTCAGTATAAGTTCAGACTGATACAATAGTACTTAGAAGTAGCATTTACGTATTTTGCATGTTTTTATTTACTTAATTTTTAAAATTGTGTTGTTTCTATGTTATGGAAACATTTATGTGCTTTGAGAGGAATATAGGATTAAAAGATAAAACTGAAAATTAATTATCACCACTGTTAATTTTTGTTGCCATCTCATGAGCCTAGTCAATATTTTTCTTTGATAATAAGTTGAGCTCTCTTTATAAATAGAAGACTGATCATAATTCCTTGCATGAGATGCTAAAACCATATAATACCATGGTCAGTCCTTTTCACTTTGGTGTTAATCTTTGCTCACTATTTTTGCCAAATTTTTTTCATCCTATTCTGACTTTGTTTATCTTTTATCATTGTAACTAGCATTACCCCCAAATTCTGTTAATAAAATCTTTTTTCTTCCTATTCAGTTTGCAGTTTATACCTGAATGTGACTTTTCTCAAACATTCTGTGTCTCCCCCATCAGTTAACTATTAGGACATTGTGTTTTGATGGATCCAGCCTTCAGAATGATTTATGAGACATGAAATTTCACTGTTTTCTAATGTTATATACATCATACCTGAAAATAATCAGATTATAAAGGTATTTACATGTAAGCTGTATAAATATTCATACAGTTTTCACTAAATCATTGAATGGCTTTCTGCCATGGATATTAGAAAATTATCCTTTCCATGGTCTTTAAAATGATAGGACTCTAATTCCCTAGCCTGCCATTTCCACATTTTCATATACAATTGCTCTTCCTATTGTTTGTGGCTTCTAAGAATTCCAGTCAGAATTTGTATCACTTATCATTGTCACAAAATGTTATTTCTTCAACAGATAAAATTTGTGCAGTCCCCAGTTAGACTTTCCAGTTATCTAACTAGTCAGGGAGCTGGGCATGATGAAAATGGGAAATCATCAGCTCTCAGAAATCAAGCAGAGCAAATACATAGTTCTGTAAAGTGCCACAGCCCACTCTCACACCCACATGTACATCTGCTCAGAGCCCTTCTGGATTTTTCTTCTAGGTCACTAGTGCAACTTCTACTCAGAATGGGTACCATCTGACAACTCTCTGGAAGAAATCACGTAATTTGTGATTTGGTCCAAAATATCACGCCTCACTATGAAGGTAGTATCTGAGAGCCGGGCTGAGGCTGTGTAGAGGACAGCTATTTAAAATATAAAAAAAATTTATGGACCCTCATCATTTGCAAAATCCATTTCATACAATAAATGGCACTCAAATTAAAAGAGGTTGTTCTCCGTTTATTGAGAATGTCAGAAGACAGAAGGAAGAAAGGATTCCAAAGAGCTGCTCCCAGTGCAGACTTTTTATATGAATGGGCTAGTGAATCCCGATGTCAGAAGTTCATACCACAGTATGAACAAGATGATTTGATTTTAATTTGTAGACAAAACAGACCTTCTTCATTCTCGATCATGCTGATAAAAACTCATTCTACAATCAAACTATTTAGATAGTCCATACCAAGCATTACTTACAAGCAGCTGGAAAATACCCAGAGGTCTTTATTCATTAATAAATTCTTTTACAATCATGCTGCTCAGAGAGTGTGCAAGATAGTGGTGAAGAGCACAGACTTTGGAGCCATACAACCTGAGTTCATGTCCATTCTCTGCCACTTTCTGTCTCTGTGACCTTGGACAAGTTGCCTAGCCTCTCTGGATTTTCAGTCCTTCATAGGGTGTTGTGAGGTTTAAATACACATGAAGTATTTATTACTTGACTCTGTATATAAACTGTTCTCATGCCTATGCTGTTGGGAGCAGAAATGAAAGATTTTCAATCTCCAATAGCTTTCCCTCTAAAATCCCGTTCCTATAGTGTGGGAGAGGGGCTTCTATCCTTTGCCTCCATGGCTCCCTGTACCACCCTGGCATAATGTATATATTACGTGTGTACTATCTATTTACTTGTCCCT